GAGAGAGAGAGAGAGAGAGAGAGAGAGAGAGAGAGAGAGAGAGAGAGAGAGAGAGAGAGAGAGAGAGAGAGATTGTGTGAAGGAGGTCAATAACACTGCAGCGGCTATGGCGCTCGCGAAGCACCTCGTTCGCCTGGACAGTTGCAGATTCTGCTGCCGGGGGGCACTATCCTCCTCCTCCTCCTCCTCCTCCTCCTCTTTCTCCTCATCGCCTTCCACGGCTTCTAGTTCTACCACCCTTCAAACGGCTCTTTGCCAGTCGACATTGCGCGCCGAGCGTGCCCCTTCAGTCTGGGTAACAGCGAGACCCCGTGGCAGCAGCAGCAGCAGCACGGTCGCAATCGCGATCGGTGGAGGTTTTCCCACAGGCGGCAACAGCAGCAGGACAAGGGAGAAGGTGGTGGTCAGGTGCAGTGGCTCTCGAGGCGGCGACGGCGGATATGGTGGTGGGAGCAGAAGAACGGCAGCAAGGAGAATCAACAGCGACAGGAAGCGGACTCAACCCTGCCTTCTTTCGCGGGAATGCAGCATGGCCGGTAGCTTCTCATCCCCCTCTTCTTCTCCTTCTTCCTCGTCTTCGTCGTCGTCATTGTCCTCGGTGGTCTTGAGATACCGATCATCAGGAAGGCGGCGGACATCAGCGGGCAAAGCGGCGGCGGCGGCGGAGGCGGCAGTTCTCCCTGTGCACAGCGGGTTGAGGAGGGGCGGGCGCGCGATGATCCCTAGGGTTCTGGACACGTGTCAAGCGACTGCAAGCGCGCGATTGTTCGCTGCTGTGCAGGATGCCACGTCAGCGCCGGATCGGCAATCTGATGATTGCGGCTTGGAAGTCGATCAGATAGGAGGAGGGAGAGGAGGAGGTGGTCGTCGAGGACAGGTGACGATGATGCCCATCGGAACTCCCAAGGTGCCGTACCGAACGCCGGGGGAAGGAGGATGGCAGTGGGTGGATATCTGGAATGTGCTTTATCGTGAGAGGATCATCTTCGTTGGCCAATACATCGATGAGGAGTTTGGCAATCAAGTGCTTGCGACGATGCTCTATCTAGATAGCGTCGATTCCACAAAGCCGATGTACTTGTACATCAACTCCCCCGGAGGGGAGATTACTCCGTCGATGGCGCTCTTTGACACGATGGAAAGCATTGCAAGTCCAGTCGGGACGTTGTGTTTTGGGTATGCGTACAATATGGCATGCTTCTTGCTGGCGGCGGGAGAGAAGGGAAAACGAGCGGCTATGCCGATGACACGTGTGGCGCTGCAACCGCCGGCGGGAGCGGCGCGGGGACAGGCGGATGACGTGCGGAACGAGGCGAACGAATTGGTGCGCGTGAGGAAGTACATGCACGGGGTGTTGGCGCACAAGACAGGTCACGATATAGAGAAAATCGCCAAGGACTTGAGTCGAATCAAGCGCTTTGATGCCAAGGAAGCCATGGAGTACGGTCTCATAGACCGAATTGTACGGCCAATTCGGATCAAGAAATCTGCACCGCCCAAGGAAGTCGCCGCATCTGCTCCTTGACATGCCCAGTCCTCCACGTCCTCTCATAGTGTCGTTCACTCTGCTGCAGTTGCCTACCTGCCTCCTCCTCCTCCTCCTGCTGCTGCTGCTGCTGCTGATGTAGGAGGAAGAGAACATGTAGGACGAGCTTCTTCTTCTTCTTCTTCTTCTTCTTCTTCTTCTTCTTCTTCTTCTTCTTCTTCTCCTCCTCCTCCTCCTCCTCCTCCTCCTCCTCCTTCCTTATTGATCAGTTGAGCAGCGAGAACAGGGGAAGGGTATTTACCTCTTCATCGTCTTCTTCTTTATCGTTTACTGATTAGTTGAGAGGCGAGAACAGGGGAAGGGTATTTTATTCCTCCTTCTTCTTCTCCTTCTCCTTCTCCTTCTCCTTCTCCTTCTTCTCCTTCTCCTTCTCCTTCGTCTCCTTCTCCTTCTTCTTCTTCTCCTCCTTTCTCCTTCTTCTTCTTCTCCTCCTTTCTTCTTCTTCTTCTTCTTCTTCTTCTTCTTCTTCTTCTTCTTCTTCTTCTTCTTCTTCTTCTTCTTCTTCTGCTTCTCATCCTTCTTCTTCTTTCTTCTTTCTTCCTTCTTCTTTCTTCTTCTTCTTCTCCTCCCCCTGCTTCTCCTTCCTCTCCTCCTCCTCCTCCTCCTCTTTTTTCTCCTTCTCCTTGCTCTTCTTCTTCTTCTTCTTCTTCTTCTTCTTCTTCTTCTTCTTCTTCTTCTTCTGCTGCTGCTGCTGCTACTGATTTGTTGACGGCAATCAATCGCTCAGAGTGCTGATTCCCCTCGTCTCTGCGTCCTATCTCTGCGCATTTTGTGTCGTGCCGTGTTGCCTCACCGGAAATCAATGGTTCAAAATGTATGGCGCCAGTACTGTTTTCGTCTTTTGTCTCTCCTCCTCTCTGATTCATCTTGGATTCTCTCCCCCTTCCTCGTTGCGTCATATCTCATGTTTTTTGTTTGGCATGTCTCGCCTCATCGTGTCTCTTTGTTTCTTGGTGGCCTCTTGTGTGCGACACTCGCTAACGCCCGATCGGCCAAGGCTTG